TGTGCGTTATGGAGATCAATATAGTGAAAACTTCATGATAATCAGTAAATAACAATAAATAGTCGATATTAAGATAAACGAAGGAACAAAAATTTCCTATGCTATTAATAGTACATATTATATCTTCACACGCACGGGTCAACCCGAATGTTTCTAGTTCTAGGTCTAGTGTTAGTTCAAGTTTTAGTTCAATGAAAAATATACAACAATCTAACGCTGAATAACAAGTAAAACTAGAACAAACACTACCGTTAGAACTAACACTAGATCTAAAACTAGAAACATTCTTGTTTAGCCGTACGTCTCATAACACGGTTAAACCCGAAGGGTTCTAGTTCTAGGTCTAGTTTTAAAACTACCGCCATGGATTTATACATCGTATAGACAACTCGGGGAATACCCCGACTTTATCTATCAACATGAATTAGAGCAACTTGAGGAATAACCCGAGTTAGATTCTACCAATGAATATCTTGTCCGTTATATTCGAAGTAGGTTCTACTATAATAATTTTTTATAATCTCATTAAAATGTGTATTGATAAAAAATATTTTCTTGTACTTGATTCACCCTGTATACGAAAATAAATATCTTTAAGACATCGAAATCGTTTTCTGAATTTCGATGTGTCCGAATACAAGGAACGGTAAAAAGTGGCAAAAAGTAGTCCCGCGGCCTCTATCTCTTCGATCACAGCGGCGACATTCTTGCATACAACTTTTCTTTCCCCCCTTTTACAATGGACCGGGAGGATCGAGGACTTGACACGAGTACGGCCTCCTCTACTACAGGATTTCGAGTATGCAGATGCAATCACCTGAGATCGCCGGTCTTTTCTCTCTCTTTTTCCCTCATTCTCCGTTCGCCCGACAGCTTTTCTTCGTGCTGGCCTCTTTTTTCAACCACTTCTTCTTGTGCTGGCCCATAGCTCTCCAGGATACAATGTCGACCGCACAATGGCCACTTATTGGATATGATGATGGTGAAGTTTACTTTTTATATTTTTTTATTATCATCCCCTTTTTAGTCCAATTTTAATATCATGGAATTTAATGGGAATTGAAATAATTTGTTCTTAGATTTAGAAGAAAAATTAGAGAAAATGTTTGAATTCTGTAAGTTTCTCTAAAATCACTTGAAATGATTTATGTGGTAAATCTGTTTAAATAACTTTGTGCATGTTAGTTACGTTCCTCAAAATTCCAAAACAACTTCCTTTGCGTCCCTTTAAACTTTATACACGGTACCCGGAGGCTCCGACTGTACAGTCTGGCATCGGAGACTTCTTCCGCGTCTCGGGCCTCGCCAAACCAATTATCCGACCGTAATTACGCTCAAAGAGACTTACATAGGCTCCTTCTCTTCGGACCTGAGACACCCATTTCAATGCTTATGCGAGTTGAGTTAGGAGCTGTTAAGGAAAGCAAACGTGAACTCTGCGCGCCGGTGCCACCGTCTGTGAAGTAGATAAGTACTGGTAGTAGATTTCTAGCTGCAGGTTGTGCCGTCGTAGCAGGTAGATAACTTCCGCCTGATACGGCAGCGTCTGGTAAATCATGCAGGCAATATCTTGTGGAAAAGTTTGAAAAGTTTTCGTCGACGGCGTTGGGGCGCCCCACCCAGTTTTAACGGCGACCCAACCGGAGGCTAATGATTGCGATTAATGACGCTTGAAATTAACGTTTCAAAACGGGGGTAGGTTTAAAAAATTTACGGTGATCGATTAATATCTTAGAAAAGTTCATATTTGTTTACAGCATAAACATAACTAGACTTAACTATTGCCATGACAGTTTTTAAATTGTTAGACTTATTTTTACATTCATTGATTATAAGTACACACATTTAGGGTTTATAGAGGCTTTTGTTTGAACGGATACTTTTTTGTTGTTAAATATGTATTATTAATAGCGTTGGAGGAAATTTTTGTTCCTTCGTTTATCTTTATATCGACTATTTATTTACTGGTTATCATGAAGTTTTCATTAGATTGATCTCCATAACGCACATTTATTATCATTGCAGAGACGTTGTCTTCAAATACATAATTAATGCATGAATTGAATTTGTTAGAAGTTAGTTCTATATCCACAAAAAATTTTTGGAGTATGGGTCTATAACCTTTCAAGAGTAAGCCTATGAATATAGCGACAAGCAACAAATAACGAGTTCCTTCTTGTTTAAAATCTTCAGATGTTATGAAATAGTCTCATTTATTATTCTAAGATATTGCATAAGCTAATGCCCCTTAGTTTTTCCCATGTAACTTCTGGACAAGTAAAACCAATTTTGTAGTCGCCTGCTTTTTTAGTTACTAGAATTGCAAAATCTTTCTTGAAATTTCTATTATCAATTTTTATTATTTTCGGTGTAATATAAACAATTTTATTAATAAATTAAAATGTTCATACAAGTACTCTGAGATGTATCGATTATTTTAAAATCTTACATTAAGCAGTGTAGCAAGAGATGCGCCTAATATCATCTCTCCTTCTTTAATGCAGTTTTACAATTAATTAAAAATTTGTTCATTCCAAACTAAATGTTCTATACTCTTTGTAACAGCGATGGGCGCGTGCTACTTTTCTCATGATACAGAATTTATTTCCTTTGTTTCCAAATATAAAATTGTAAAGGATTTAAGCCGAGGCTTGTTTTTAAAGTGTTGGTTTAACATTCAACAGGTATCTATCTACGATGACATGGAACAAAATTCCAGCCATTGCTGACCATTTTTAATCTGTAGTGTTTGATCAATGTGTCAATGGTAAGAATGAAAATCTGCACGAAAATCATATCGGTTGCTTAAGAAGACTATCCGTCCATGCCATGCAAATGAGAATTACCAATTCTCAATTACCAATTATGTCTAAATACTACATCCGCTTTAGTTTTTTAAGAAGATACATAAAAACATCTTTAATCTACCAATTCAGGATTTGATTCTTGTTCAGATTGTAGCTCAGCCGTCTTTGTTGCAATGACTGAATATCCAGCACCCACCATCATAGTTGAAAAATACGTATAATTGAGAAAGTTAGATAGTCTCTATTTCCACAAATCTTCCATGTATGATGAAATCGATGTTTTAAAGTCTAACGGCAACTTCGCGGATCTACATTTGACTACTCTCAACAGTTTGGGGAGAGATTTTGGTAACGACGCCGATCAAAATTCTTCTGGTTCGTCCAAATATCCAAGTTTTTTAATGCGAGGAAACTAATCTCAAATTCTATATAGACTCACATATACAACAACTCTAAAATTGTCCTATGTATACCTTATATAGTAATAGATACAATTAATTATGCAAGAGGAAAATGTATAGTAGTACCGCCATTTCTTTTTCGGCATACTTCTTCGTCAAATTCTGCTAGTTCTGTTGATTTTTGAATTCGTAGCCGAAGTGTGTCTTATGGAATTCTTCTTTGTTTTCTCCATTTTACCATACCTAGTATACCACATCGCTCCCTGATATCTATATTTTTTATCCAGTCTTTTCAAATCTTACTCAGGATACCCTCTTAGCATACCCTTACTTTTTTCCATTTTACAAACTCTTATCTTTCAGTTCATTCGCATGTATTGATTTGACATCCTGATTGATTGATATCCTGATCACTTTATTGGTGTGGTTTCTTAAGTTTTCTGCTGGCTCATGATTCCAGGAGACATTAAGTCCAAGATATTTGAACTGACTGACTTGTCTTCTACCACAAAGTTGTATCCAATTGATTCATTAGCGATTGTCACGACTTTTATTTATCGATGAATATAACATGTTTAGTTGAATTACTTGATAGAATTTAAAAAGGTGTTTTTGCAGATTATCTTCCATTTCTGCTACAATTAACTTTTAGCTTACCGATTCAATCGTCCAAATTCAACGACACTTCTTGTATAATTTTGTCCATTATCAGGTTAAAAACGAATTAACTTCTTTCTAGTCTCCACACATATAGTGCGTTGGTTTTTATTTGGCCACCTTATTTCTGCTTTACTGTTCTCATAAAATGTAGTTTCTGGACATGCCGATTTATGGACATTTAAACAAAGATGCCTTATTAATGATGTTACCTGATTAACAGTTGAGCCAACATATCTTTGACTATATTTGATGGTGCTGATACTTTTCGGTTTAAAATTGGTACTGGTGCATATAACGTTGAAAAGTACATGAATTACAAAATGTTTCCTAGATACTATTGGAGAAAACCTTTCATCATTTCCTTGCTAAATGAAGTTGTTAGTAAAGTAACACGAGCGGTCATAAACATACTTTCAAATGTAAGGTTTAACCCTGCAGATGTTAGTCCCTCTGAAGCGCCACCGGGAAAGTGGAAAGTCTCGTTTAAGCAAATTATACGAGTATTTATACGAGTACTACAGAGAAAGTTGGAATTGTAGAAATTGATAAAACTAGGAAACTAAAATCTGACAGAAATGAACGCAAAAAAAAATAAAATTTGGAAGCCAAAAAAAAGATTGTCTATTAACAGTGGAGTACTACACGAATCAAATACCAAAGTATAGAAGAAAAATAAATTTAACCTTCTGATTCTGATGTTGAAATTTATGTTAGGCAAATAATCATCTCAATTTTCCTGCTGTCGATTAAATAAAATGGTAGCATAAGTTCTCTGCAATTTCTTGATTTTATTATAATTCACCCAAAGATTGCCCCATTCTGCTTTTCAGAAAAAGTATATACATACGCAAAATATCAAGGAATTAACCATTAAAGTAGTGTCAGTTCTACAATATCTTGATACCATTAATATATACTAATTGGTATATATTTTATTATTGCCTTATTTATTAGTATTATTTGTCATACTTTACAACTGTTTATTCCTTTCGCGTCTTCTTAATTAATTTACCTTTCGTAAATAGACGTGTTCTGTCCATTTCTTCAATATCTCGGATGAAATCCTATCATTTTTTGCGTCTTCTTTACTAAGCTTAATGACGAGTTGTAGCAAAATTTTTGATTCGGTTGAAAGCTGTCTGTTTTCGGACTTCTAATATTTGCGTGTTCCGATTACCTGGAACCAATTCCACTTTTGCCATCACTACACTATATACGTTCTGATTCCCATATTTTATTGCCATAGACAGTATACTGGGTTCGCAGTCTCATAAATTATGTTTTGATGCCTTCTTAACCAGCTCTTAACCGTCTCCTGATGAGTATTTGAAAATTATGAGAATGTCTTGGTAGTATATTATTAGTGAAAGAATGTATGGATATTAACAAACAACTTTGCAAAGCAAATAAGGAGCCGGTATTAGCTAATTTTGTATTTATCAAATACAAAATAATAAAACAAATCAAATATGAACGTAATAATATCAATAATTTATTGAATTTATTAACATAACCACAAAAATATAATTAAATTCCTACAGATATAACTTTATTAATTTGAACAAGTTCTGAGGTAACAGGTTGGTACACGTAACGATAAATAATAAGTAGAAGTGCAGAACGGTCGCCTTGCCATGACCAGATACGTGATAATTACGTCGGTTTCTGTATTTGGATAAGCGGCCGCAAGCTCCGTTCTTCCATTTAATTACATCGGTGGTTAGTTTTCCGGTTTCCTAAGCCCGGTTTTAACACTGGTACCATGCGGGCACTATCTCAATATAGGATAGGCGAGCTTAACGTGCCGGGGACGATAAGGAAGCGGTGAGCTTTAATGGAAAATACGTGAGAATTCAATGCCAAAGGCGAATAACTGACGATTAATTTAATCGTATTAATATGTTACCCATTTTCAACGTGGCATTTATGATTGTCTTTTTACTACACTTAAGCATCAGCTTTAAAATACATAAACTCTGAATGAAAGTTATAACTTTGTCTAGAAATAGAAATAAAAGCGTATGTTTCCTATAAACGCCGAAGATCAAACGTAAGTACCATTCGTTCATCATTAATAGCGTATAGAGGAAATCCAATCGGTTTCAAAGTGAGATATAATCGAAAACAACATCGCCGACTACATGAGGTTTTAATTGAAATTATTAATAGTGTGTGCGGTAGCGGAAAACGAATTAAAATCAAGATTGATCGATAAAAAAAATAAGTTATTTTTGGGTTTAATACCCATCAATTTGGGGAACTAACAGAAACGGACTTACGCGAAATAAAATCCGACCAAAGACATAAACCATTCATAATCGTAAAATATCCCCAGTCATTCGATGTAGCGAGCTCGCTAACTCGTATATATCACGTATTCCATCATAAAAATCTACCAAACAGCACCGCATATGGAACTAAAATGTAAATTTTCCTACGGGGTGGCATGGAAGAGATTCCAAAAGAACAACTTTTTACGATCATAAATAGATTGCAACTTTATAACATGTCTCGATAATTTAATCTTAGTTTAATTTAAACGATCGTTAATGACAAAATAATTTAACTACTGGTGTTAATCTTTAATTAATTAAACTCGTGTTCAGTTTATTTTATTATTCTTTTAAGTTGAATAATCCAATAATCATTAAATTTGATTTATTTTATAGTAATCGGTTATAATTCACTAATATGAGATGATTTAGGTTAGGCAAATAAATATTGCATGTATTATTTATTAGTTTTTGATCGCCATCAATGCGTTTAGTCTTCTAAAGAAGGAATTGCTTCAATAAACTCAACATTTTAAAATGTATAAAACGTTACAATATTGGAATTGAATACAGTACGAAACTTCTCTGCATTAGTACCAAATTGAAAATGTACTCGAAATTGATTGAAACATTGTTAACGTTGACCTAGTTCAAGGGGAGATCGGTGAGGAAAGGAGTGGTTTTCGTTGAAAACCCGAGCGGTTCGTTGCAGAAAATTTCCAGATAAACACGTCACGTCTCCTATTTGTTTCTTATTTTTCTAGAAGACTATATTATCGTTTGTTTGAAAACTTAAACCAAAAGTAACCAAATAAACGACTCGGGACAATGCAAGGTCACGTTAGTTAAGCAATTTATTTGCTCAATATAGGCACGAGTCGACGACGAGTAAAAAACGGCTGATGAGTCGAGGAAGGCGGAGAAAACCGAGAGTATTTAGATATTTTCACTAGAATCTATTCTTGGATTACATGCTACTTACTTCCTAGAGGTCTACGAAAATTGAGGAAGTATACTTTACGCTCGTGAAAATAAACTTTGTTAGTTTACCGTAAACATAAATTTTTCGTTTCATAACTTGAAATAAATTCGAATTAGTTTATATAAATATAAAATGATTAAATCTTGGTTAATCTTTATGGATGATATAGTTAGATGAATACTAAATATTTTGGTTATAAATACCTATATACTGGAATAGTGATGGAACCGATAATGATTTTGCGAAAAGCCGATGATATTCGGCATCTCCTTCGGCCGGATATCCGGCATATCTATGCATTTCTGAAATGATACCTTATATTGCCACATTATTGCGATATTTGAATAAAAATGAAATTATTAAGAAAGCTGATAAGATAAACTTTTTTGATACTGATTTAACTAACGAAGCAACACTAAAAAGAGGATACTTTAATTAATAATTGGCGATATTTCCACAAGGATCCTTCAAGAAATTAATTTTATAGCGAATTTTGAAAATTATCGATGAAAATTGCAATATCGTAAATTTTATCAAAACTTCAAATATTGTTTTCTCAAAAACTAAAAGTTATTTTTCAAAACGGCTTGTTACATTAAAAAGAGGATACTTCACTGAATTATTTGATGATATTTCCACAAGGATCCTTCAAGAAATTAATTTTATAGCGAATTTTGAAAATTAACGATGAAAATTGCAACATCGTAAATTTTATCAAAACTTCAAATAGTGTTTTCTCAAAAACTAAAAATTATTTTTCAAAACGGGTTGGTTCATCGGAAAGAGGACACTTTTATTAACATTTTGAGAAATTTTCATTCTCATATTCCAAGAAATGGATTTTATACGAATTTTTAAAACTTAATCGGCGAAATTGCAATATTTGAAAGAATTGTCGATCATTTCAATAATTTATTTCTCAAGAACTGAAAGTGGTTTTTCAAAACGGCTTTTTTGCATTAAAAAGAGGATACTTTAATTAATAATTGGTGATATTTCCACAAGGACCCTTCAAAAAATTAATTTTATAGCGAATTTTGAAAATTATCGATGAAAATTGCAACATCGTAAATTTTATCAAAACTTCAAATATTGTTATCTCAAAAACTAAAAGTTATTTTTCAAAACGAGTTGATTCATCGGAAAGAGGACACTTTTATTAACATTTTGAGAAATTTTCATTCTCATATTCCAAGAACTGGATTTTATACGAATTTTTAAAACTTAATCGGCGAAACTGCAATATTTGAAAGAATTGTTGATCATTTCAATAATTTATTTCTCAAGAACTAAAAGTGATTTTTCAAAACGGCTTTTTGCATTAAAAAGAGGATACTTTAATTAATAATTGGCAATATTTCCACAAGGATTCTTCAAGAAATTAATTTAGCTGTACATCTCTGAAGACGGCTAAACCCGAATCTGTCTAGTTCTAGGTCTACAGTTAGTTTAACTTTTAGTTCAATAAAAATATACAACAATCTAAGACGAAACAACAGGTAAACGGTCTAGTTTTAATTTGTATTCAGTGCTGACGTCACGAACGGGCCTTCGAGCTGTGCACGTATTTTTGGGATATAGCAGTCCTTTTAGATTCTACCATCCTTATTTATCCCGTTTCCATATTAATCCGTTATATAGAGCTTTTAATGTAGGCACTTTAAATTCTTATTGTAGTACTGAAGTCTGAAACGCTAAAGTGAAATTTGGGTTGCGAAATACTATAAATACTCGTGATTAGTTGACTGGGTGTGGCCTAACTTGTCCTCACTTATTTCAATGAACACTTAATCTTGGGATAAACTAACAATTTAACAACTATTATTTGAAACAATTTAGAAGATAATGCAACAATATTTAATGATAAACCTCAAAAATGCAAACCTCTAAAACTTTTGCTCATAAAACTTGATCTAGACTTTGTAAAGTTTCTATAACCTATCCTTACAAATGATGACCGGATATAAAAAAAAGGAAAAACATAAAAAATAAAATTATTAAAAGAAAAACCGTCAATCGTAAATTTTTTACGGCGAACCATAAAACAAACGGGGTTTAGTAGATATAGAAAATGATACAACATTTCTTTTACTTCTGGAAAAGCATTTCTTGGTCTCTTGAGTTAGTAGTTTTAAACTTAAAACGACGTAAAACCAGTCAATACATCACGCCCATCACTTTCAGGAGCGGAGAAAACTACGAAACCGCTGAACAAATAATAGCTTGAAGGGAGAAAAAAAAATATCGGAACAAAACTGTAAAAAAGGTGAAAAATCGTCCTCGGTTACGAATATCTTTTGTTCAAACCCCTTGTATGTGTGGGTGGGGTGAATAAATGGGCCGCATTATCAGCCCGAATTCGCATGCAAAGCTCTCTCTATAAAAACCCAAAAAAAATCCTTTCGATCCTGTAAAGTAGGTAAAATCACGACCGGCAATGAACACTGTTGTTTTAAGCGGGCCTTAAATGCGTTTTGTTGTTGTCGGAAAGGATCGAGTTTAGGGGATTTTAATTTATTCGGTTTGCGTTTGGTATTCGGAGGGGAAGGGCAGAGAGCCTTAATGCCCGAGGAAGCTTTTAAAACTTTCAGATTTCAATGAAAGGATAAAACGAAAAAGTCAGTTAAGGACATCAATCGGGTTTACATCACAAAATGTGATCTAGAAAACCGGAACTCAATATCTGAGCATCGTCCCACGTGTACTACCTTCTTTATAAGGATGGCAATAACATTTAATAAATCCCTCAAGATTGAAAGTTACGATTTACCTTTTTTGGGGAAAAATCGAAATTGATCAATACTTCCATAGATGGCTTTAAGTAATTAAAAAGTTCAGTAGAAATATCTTGTATACCATACATTTTTTGACTAAACAGTCGTGAGGTCATGATTAAATTATATAAAAGTAATTTGTTTTGAACGTTAAGATATGATCTTCTCATTTACTAGCACCTAATACACATTCCGAAGCGAGGTGATATAGATAACATTCGATTTAAGTGGTTTTGGAATTTTGTGTTTGTTGTAATTTTTACACAATTTATCTTCATTTACTCACACCAGCTAGGAGTTCTTGAAGCAACTTAAGGATTGTGGTTGAGATCTTCGTTAGCATATTAACAGTTTAGATAAGGTATAATGTCAGACCAAGGAAACTAGTTGGAAACAGCTAGACACCATCTTACTGTATCTATTCTAAAAAGATTTTTTTTTAGATAAGAATTAATGAATTTCTCTTGCGTAATTCGCACTATTTTATACATTAATTCAACGGTTCCATGTTGTCCAATTCAGTTGTTAATACTTTTTTGGAATATTGTTTGGTTTCGGTATTATTTTCATTTCTTCAACTTTCCATAACATTAGGTATACAAACAGTATGTATACACACACGTATTCTTATATTAGTGTCAATTATATAGACCAATTATCTAGCAGAATTTTGTACCATATGTTAAATCGTTCTTACATAATACCATAGAAATGTATCTAACAACAAGATAACTTTAACTTTAATTTATATTTTTTGATTTTGCCGAAAGATAAAACCGTAATCATTTAACAAATCATAC